TTTCTGGATTTATAAGATTTTCTTTTTTTTTCCTTTAGCATTTCTTAGTGTTTTACTTCCATTTAGATATGTTGTCAATTAAACTATTAGAATACAATCCCATCTTGTATTTATGTGTATATTTTTCCATAAAATTGGTTGAGTCACATGCCTTGAAGTAACTCTTGCCATTGGATTTCTGGCCTGGGAAGTGACATTAGAAATCATCTAGTCTAAGTCCAACATTTTACAGACATGAAACTCGACACCTAGAAAGGATAACAAACTTCTCAGATTAAAGACATGAGACAAAAGGTTTTGTACTATAATTTCTCTTCATACGTTCTCCTTTGTGTCTGGAGATGACACTACATTGTGTGCAATGGTAAACTGTCTCACATCACCCAAGCATAATTTTTTTTTTACTTGTATTTGAAAATTTAACTGCTGTTTAAAGGGTTTATCTCCATCTGTGCTTCAAATCCTACAATTTACAGGCTCTCTGGTAATCCAGCACTGATTTCTTAGGTTTCCCAAATGAGCCCCGTTATTTTAAAGAGTTAGGCGTTGACCGCTTAGAGCTTTGAGATCCATTATAGTTCAATAACTAGCATCAATCGGAGCTCCTGCTGTAGTCTCTGCTCTGCACGTATTTTCCTTGATGTAGTTGCCTTTTGGTTATACATGTAATTTTGAAGTTGGCCACTTGATGGCGCTGTAGTTAATAGCTTGATTTATCTGTGGGTTTTTCCATTCCCTTCATAGCTTTTTTTTTTTTAATTGCAGTTACGTGAAATAGGCGCATTTTTAAAATTCTGCTGCAGGTGAAATGATTTAATGACTCTTGACTTCTGCATTAATATTCAACATTAGAACTATTGTAAAAACAGACTCTTGCTAACAATGATCATTATTGTAATGGCTTGAGGCATAATCATTTACCAACATTAACTAAGTGATTAAAATCCATCATGAGTTTAATTTGAAAAGATGTAAGTTCCTTTGCAGTAAATGGCTAATGATATTAACCTCATCTTTGTGAGGTCAAAATTTATCATTATATGACTTTATACTTTCACTACTTAATAGAAATCCACTGTATGTTAACAAGGAACATATTATGCCTGTTGTTTACCAAGCATGTGGTGTTCCTATATTAGTATTGAATTGAGCCATATGGCACAATGTACAGGCAATCGTCACTCTTTATGGCCTTGCTATTTGATAATTTATTATTTCACAAGGCAAGTGACCTTAACAGATGTTGAGATTAATAATTATGGTCAGTAAAACCTGCAGGGAAAAGTAAATGCTCTGGTTTTATAACTCATTTTTAGCAAAACCAGTATATGATATTTATAATGATCAAATCTTCTTTGATATTATATTTTGATAACAGTAAATAATGCCTTTTAAAAGTGTCCAATCTTAAGCTTAGCAATAATTCTCCAGAAATATTCTCTATCAACTGACTATAAAAAAAGATTCCATGCTAAATTTTTTTTTCCACAAGAAACCCTGGTTCTGGACTTGACTCACTCCTTCGATGAATCATGAGAAAAAAATTGATCTTGAAGGATACTCTGCCTATCAAATACTCCCCAAAGATAATGATCTTGCTTCCAAAACTCCTTAAGTAAATTAAATGAGTAAAAAACACAAGAAAACTTTGCTAACTATGGAAGGGAAGAATCTGTATTTCTTTTTTTTTTTTTTAAATTTTTGCAATAACTTCTTTTTTTTTTTTAATAAACCTTTTACTTGAGAATAGCTTTAGATACACAGAAAAATCGCAAAGATAGAGGTGATAGTTCCCACATATTCCACACCCAGCTTCCCCTATTACTAAAATCTTACATTAGTATGGTACACTTGTTACAATTAATGAACCAGTATTGACACACTATTATTAACTGAAGTCCCTCAAGTCCATGCTTTATTCTGGAATCCTTGGGTGGCACAAACAGGTTCGAGTCTACCCAGAGGTGTCTCAAAATAAAAGCCAACAGATCTACTTTGGAAAGATCAGCCAGTGAAAACCCTATGGAGCTACAGGGGAAGGCAGCACAACCTGACTAAACCAAAGCTAAGAAGTTTCCTGAATACAATCAAATACTTGGAGAGACAGAGTAGCAGGGATAGGGAGTCTGGGGACCATGCTTTCAGGGGACATGTAAGTCAATTGGCATAACAAAGCTTATTAAGAAAATGTTCTGCATCCTACTTTGGTGAGTGGCATCTGGGGTCTTAAAAGCTTACAAGCGGCTGTCTAAGATGCATCAATTGGTCCCAACCACCTGGAGCAAAGGAGAATGAAGAACACCAAAGACACAAGGAAAGTATTGGCCCAAGAGACAGAATGGGCCACATAAACCAGAGACTTCATCAGCCTGAGACCAGAAGAACTAGATGGTGCCTGGCTACCACCAATGAACGGCCTGTGGGGCAGTTCTTCTCTGACACACATGAGTAGGAACTGAATCTATGGAAACCAGTTTTTTACCTTGCTGGGTTTTTAGCCTCTGAGCAATCTGCACTTTCTGGTCAGCTCACTGTGCATTTTTAAAATGTTATTTTAAAAAATAGATTTTTTTATTGTTGTAATTAAATGAAGTTTACATTTCAACTTAGTCTCCCATACAAAAATTTTTTTTTATATACATTGTTATGAGACCCCAACCGCTCACCCCATTCTGCAACAGCACACTCTTCCCCTCCGTTGCTGATTCCCCATGAACATTCAACCAGCTCCTAACTCTCTCTGCCTTCCCATCTCACCTCTGGACAGAAGCTGTCCCTTTGGTCTCTTGTGTTTACTTGACTAAGAGGCACATTCTTCATGAGTATCACTTTATGTTATGTGACCCTAATTGCTCTCCCCATATTGTGGCAGCACACTCCTCCTTTCCACCCCTGACTGCTCATGTCCATTCAACCAGCTCCTAAGTCTCTCTGCCTTCCCATCTCACCTCCAGACAGAAGCTGCCCGTTTAGTCTCTTGTATCTACTTGAGCTAAGAGACACGCTCCTCACGAGTATCACTTTATGTCCCATAGTCCAGTCCAATCCCTGTCTGAAGAGTTGGCCTCAGAAATTGTTTTAGTTCTGGGCTGTTATAGAGTCCAGGGGCCATGCTTTCCGGGATTCCTCCAGTCTCAGTCAGACCATTAAGTCTGGTCTTCTTACTAGAATTTGAGTTCTGC